TCCCCTCTGCCCCTTCCTTTCTTCCTCCCTCACCCTTCCCCAGTGTTGCTGTCCTTCACTCATCAGCTCAAGGGCATCCACTTCTCTGCATCTCCACCTCTCTTGGGATTTGTTTTATTTATTATTTTTTCCTAGATGGTACCATGGGCATCTATCAGGCGCTGCAGCTGAGTCACTTCTCCAGGCCAAAGCCACCCCTTGGACCTTCTTGGTGCGGGAGAGCCTCAGCAAACCTGGGGATTTTGTCCTGTCTGTCCTCACTGACCAGCTTAAACCTGGGTCTGATGCTCCACCGGCTGGGGCAAGCAGTGCCTCTGGGGCCCGGCTCAAAGTCACGCACATCAAGATCATGTGTGAGGTGAGCAGTTGGGAGAGCAAAAGGAAAGGGAGTAGAAGAGGTCTCTTACTGATCATGTCCTCAGAAGCATGGTCACTGTCAGCTTGATTACCACCAGCAGTGGTTCTGAATTTGGATCAAAGTGCTGTCACCTTGCAGGTCCTTGCCCCAGCCTGGGTGACCACGTGCAGTGCTGGGTGCTCAGGCACAGGAGGAAGCAGGGCTCAGTGTGACTGAGAACTCCAGTACAGGGGGTTTGTGGTGAAGAGTGAGCAGGATTCACAAGCTAATTACAAGTTCATCAAGAGTTAAAAGCTTTTGAAGGAGGAGGAGGGGCATTTGCAAGGCCTCCACACTTAGTCTGAAGAATGTTACCAACCTGGCTGTCACAAGCTCTCCTATTTCTTTCATGTGGGATGATGCAGAGAGTGGAGGGAAATTTCAAAGACAGAAAGCAACTGACCTTAGATCAGCGCTGAGGGCAATAGACTTTCTCTGGGCTTCCATCCACTGAGAGCAGGAGTCAGCTCACCATGCTGTGAACCTGCTGTTCTCAGGGCAAAGTACCATTTGACCTCCCAGCCAGAGGAAATGCTTTTCTCGATGGCACAGGGTGGTGCCTATGGCTTTTACCTTTTTCCCTGAACATTATCAGCTTTGTCTGTAGGAATATTATGAGTGGGGTGTTACACGTTCTTCCTCCATTTAGAATGGACGTTACACAGTGGGAGGTGCTGAAACGTTTGACAGCTTGGCAGATCTAGTGGAGCACTTCAAGAAGACTGGAATTGAGGAGGTTTCTGGCTCCTTTGTGTACCTGAAGCAGGTAAATACGGTTTCCTGCTTCTTAGAGATCCTTTGGAGGGACCCACTTGCTGTTTGTTTCTGCTTTGTGTCCCTCCTCCTTTTTTCTGCAGCACATGGAGGAGACTTCGCCTCCAGCGGCCTCTTTCTCATGCCAACCCACTTGTGTTTTCCCATCCCCAGCCCTACTACGCTACAAGGGTGAATGCTGCTGACATTGAGAATAGAGTGCAGGAACTGAACAAGAAGAGTCTATCTGAGGAGACATCCAAGGCTGGATTCTGGGAAGAATTTGATGTAAGAAACTGCTGGGGGACATTATTCTGGCTTTTTGGGAAGTCTCTGTGCACCACCTCATTCTCCATCCTTGATTTCTTCCTGAACACAAACTTCTCAGGTGTCTTGTAAATTCTTGTCAATTTATCTCTGAAATAAGTCTGTTTGGAACCTGTTCCTCTGGGGATTGAGTGTCATCTGTAAGTGAACCCAGTGAGGTAGAAATGTGGTTGGGAGAACGAGTCACCAAGACAGTAAGAGCATGAACCTTGGACTTTTCAAGTCTAGGTTTGCTTTTCACATCTCTGCTCCCCTACAAGCATGCCCATGTGTCCCTGAAGTCACCTTTTCGCTCTTCCTCTGAGTGCCCACCTCCCCTGTCAAACATTGTGACCTTGCCATGACTATTCTTTCTTCTGCTCTCAGAGTCTGCAAAAACAGGAAGCCAAGCACCTGTTTGACCGTCATGAGGGTCAGAGACCTGAAAACAAGAGCAAGAACCGATACAAGAACATCTTGCCCTGTGAGTCTTGCTTTTCCACTATAAAAAAACCACCCAAATAGACACAAACAGGCAATGAAAAGCTGTCTGAGTCATCCCTGGTGCTGCCTCAGCCCACTCTGTCCTTCACAGTGGGTTACAAGGTGTGCGGCATTGAGGATTTAAGAGCTAATAAGAGAGGTCACAGCCTCTTCATGTCCTTGAAGGAAGGACATGAAGTCTGAGTTGCATCAGACTCATTAGCTTCTGCTGATCCATCATAGGGGTAGAGAAATGGGAGGACAGGGTGAGGTTGGTCTGACCCCAGAGAAGGAGAGGTGACAATATGGGGCATGCTGTGAGCACTGGGTAGCATGGCTGAGGTGGTGTGGGGCAGTGAAGGAGCTTCATGTGGTGGGCACTGAGTATCTCATTGCTCTGTTTATTCTTTCACTGCATCCCCAGTTGATCATTCTAGAGTCATCCTTCAGGGAAGGGACCCAAATATACCTGGATCTGACTACATCAATGCCAACTATGTCAAGGTGAGACTCTTGAAAGATGGCTGTATGCCCAAATGGGGCAAGGCCTGCCTGCTCCTGCAGCCCTCCTGATCTTCCCCTGTCCACACTCAGAACAACATGATCAGCCCAGATGAGTGCACCAAGACCTACATCGCTAGCCAAGGTTGCCTGGATGCCACAGTCAATGACTTCTGGCAAATGGTGTGGCAGGAGAACACGCGGATTATTGTGATGACTACACGGGAGGTAGAAAAAGGGCGGGTAAGTAGCAGTTTGTAGGTGTCTCGGTGCTGCCCTCTTTCCCCCTTCAACTGCTGCTCCACTTTTTCTCTTTTCCCTGCCTTCTGCCTGTCCTCACGCTGCCCTCTCTACCCACACAGAACAAATGTGTGCCTTACTGGCCAGAGGTGGGCAGCACGAAGGAGTACGGTCCCTACCTTGTGGAGAACGCTGGGGAGCACGATGCATTGGAGTACAAACTGCGGCACCTCTGCGTGTGCCCCATAGATAACGTGAGTGTGCCTGGGCGAGGGGTGGGTCTAACAGTCACCCTACATCTAAGGCTGGGAACTGCTGGCTGCTGTGGTATCATTCTTGGGGTTGCTGTTCCCACCTGGTTCGGGCTGGAATCACACTGGTAGAATCATCAAGCGCGCAGGAGACAGGGATTCCCTCTGGCTTCAGACCTACCTCTCCCTGGGACAGAAGCTGGGGACAGGACCTATGTGCAGTTTTATCAGTGGGGTGTTTTGTTATTACCAGGGTAAAGCTGTGCGTGAGATCTGGCACTACCAGTACCTGAGCTGGCCTGACCATGGTGTACCCAGCGAGCCAGGAGGAGTACTCAGCTTCCTCGACCAAATCAACCAGAAGCAAGAGAGCATCCCGGATGCAGGGCCTATTCTGGTGCATTGCAGGTTGGTACAGAGCCTGGGGCTGAAAGCATTCTCCATCCCTTGTCTAGGATGAGGTACGAGAAGTCCATCCTGATGCACCAGCTGTTCCCGAGGACTTGCGAGTGAAGCACATGCCAGCCCTGATATTTGCTTTTTCCTCTTTGATGCCCCCAAACCAAACTCCCTGCCTGTTGAGTATGTGACTCTGGTGGCATTGCTGAACAGCTCCTACAAGTGTTGCATCCTTCCCCAAAAGCAGCTGCCTTTTGTTTCAGGAGCTGTATTGCTCTGACCTCTGCTTGTCCTCTCCTTGCAGTGCTGGGATTGGCCGCACTGGGACTATCATCGTCATTGATATGATAGTGGAAACAATCTCCACCAAGGGTAAGATGACCCCAAAGTATCTTGAAATGATCTGGCCTACCCAGTAGGGCTGTGCCCTTAAGTCCAGCTGCAAAGGGATAAAAACCAGCAGGTATCAGTGGGAGAGATCCTGCCACAGCCCTGAGAAGGTTGTGCTGTCCTTGCTATGTGGCAGCTCTTGGATCTCTGCACTGTATCCTCCAGGGCCAGACTTGAGCAGGAAGGAGGGATAGGAGATCCATACATGAGTAAAGAGTATGGAGGGAGGAGACTTCTTGACTGACCTCCACTGTGACTGCTTTTGCTGGAGGACTGTCAGAGGGGGCCAGCAAACATGTCCATAATCTTTTCTGGTGTTCCTTGCTAGGGCTGGACTGTGACATTGACATCCAGAAGACCATCCAGATGGTGAGGGCCCAGCGCTCGGGGATGGTGCAGACGGAGGCCCAGTACAAGTTCATCTACATGGCCATCTGCCAGTTCATAGAAACAACCAAGAAAAAGCTGGAAGTTATCCAGGTGAGAAAGGGGACTGCTTTCCTGGCCTGTGAGTCTAGGCCCTGCCCGGTGCTGGCTCTGAGCCCACGTGCTCTGATTCCCAAGCTTTAAGCCAGCACCGGGACCTACACAGGCTACGATGGCACACCAAGATTTGAGTCCCTGTTCCTCTCTTTAAAATTCAAGTACCAACCCGTTTTGAACTGCTAAACAGCAGTAGGTTTTACTGCAGTTATTTCAACTACTTTCTATATAATGCCTTCGCCAAGTGCTGTTTTGTTACAAGCTGAATCTAGGACAGACAAAGACTTGGCCCTCTCCATTCCTCTTTGTCTTTCCCATCCTGGTTCTGCACTTGAAGGATTTTTTCCTACCAGCTGGTAAATGGCATCTTTTATCTCTCCTTGTAGCCTCTGGCAGCATCCCATAGCTGCTGCTATCTGTTTCATATTCTTTAGCTGACACATGACAGTCTCAAGCATTCCAGTGCCTCCAGAAATTTGTTGCCCCACTGTTCACCCCCGAACAAGGATGCATTTGCATCCCTGCTGCTCACGTCTGCGACAGCAGCGGGCGGAGTGCACTGAGCCCGAGGACTTCAGAAATCCACCAACCTCCGCTGGGATCCTTGCGTGAAGCACGGTTAAGCAGCCAGAACTCTTCCCTGATGCCTCACGTGCTTCTCCCAGTCCACGCTCTTCTCAGCTTGATTTTTCTCTCCTGTAGTCTCAGAAAGGCAAGCCCAACGAGTCCGAGTACGGGAACATTGCCTACCCACCTGCAGTGAGGAACGTGCACGCCAAGGCTTCACGAAAATCCTCCAAGTAAGAGTTCACCTAAACCAGAGGCTCAGCTATGTCTCCTCTGGCAACACTCTCCCTGCTGGCATGGCTGGCTTTTTCCTCTTGCTCACTTTCCCCCCTTGTTTTTCCCTGGTCTTACAGGCAAAAAGAGGAATCAATGGTTTATGAGAACTTGGGGAAAAAGGAGGAGAAGGTGCGGAAACAGCGCTCCTCAGAGAAGAAGATGAAAGGCTCACTAAAGAAAAAATAAGCACAAATTGCAGGCAGCCCCATGGGGGCTCTGCAGCTGGGTTGCAGGACTGGAGCTCAGGTCCAGGCTGGCCTGTCTCGCATTCCTCACTCCTGGACTGGAGCTAGGCCTCCCCCTTCTCTTCTGTGCCACCTTTCAGTGCCCTGAACCAGACTGCTTTCCAGCTGACTGACTTCATTGTCCCTTGCCCGTGCAGGCCAGTGAAGTGTCCTGCTACCCTTTGCCATTCATTAACAGGAAAAAATCACACCCCTTCTTTCCCTTGTTCTCTGAGCTGAGGGGCCCAAGCTCACCTCTGCTGTGTCAGCTTCAGCGGCCATCCCGAGGGAGAGGTGAGAAAGCTCTGTGCAGGAGCAACATCTCTGCCCACTCCTGTGAGTCAGGGTTTAGCCTGTTAGTGTTCCCTGAAGCCTCAGCTTTTAAAGTCTGGAGGTTTTGGCCCTTTTCAGATCAGCTCCTCCGCAATTCAACAGGAAACCTCCTCTTTCCTTCATACCAACCCTCTGCCCTACAATCACTTTTCTATTTGATCCTTTGATTGGATGCTGTAAATATACCAGAATTTGATGTGATGGCCATGTTTTCTTTGTTTGTAAATAAACAGGTATTTGTTTGAATGTTGAGACCCAGAAGTTTGTTCTGTAATTTCTCTTTGAGGATAGCTGTACTCCTGGCTTCACTTGCAGCCCCAGAAAGACTTACAAGAATAGCTCTAGCTTAGTTTTCGTCACTTCCTGCAGCCTTCAGACTCCTGAACAGAAGCTGTGACCAATTGTAGTGGCTCCTTGCTGTGAGGCTTGAGTGTTGGTAGTCATCAGGTAAGTCTGAGCACAGAAAGTTAGCTGTGCCAAACTTAGACACAGGTGTTGGAACTTAAATTTTGGTATTCAGAAAAGTCATCCTCATGCCCTCAAATCGTTAGTCATTTTGTCATCTGTCTCATCTGTCTTTGGCAGTATCCAACCTGAGCTGGAGGGTAAGTCATAAAGGCTGCTTCAGCAAACACCTGACTGCCCCTTCCTAGGTATCGCTTAGTAGAAATGAAGCTTCATCTTTATGGAGAAGGTAGACCAGAGCTTGGCCACGTTGTGGCTTCACAGATACCAACCAGTCACCTACAAGGAGGAGCTAAGGGAGCTGGATTGCTTAGTCTGGTGAAGAGGAGCTGAGGGGTAAGTTACTCTCATCTACAACTAGACAGAGGGGTGGTAAGAAGTGGCAGATAATAAAACCAGAGGCAACAGTCCCAAATTACAGCTTGGGAGGTTCAGGTTGAACGCTAAGGCTGGTTTTATCAGACAGCATTCAAACAGATGCTGGGGGGGAAACTCTGTCCTTGCAGGTTTTCAATACTTGAATGGACAAAGCCACAGCTCGGCTAACCTGGTTCTGGCAATAGTCCCACTTGCAGCAGCAGCTTGGAATAAAGACCTCCAGAGGTCCCTTCCCACCACTATTTATATCATTCTGTGAATGCCAGAGAGCATTCCTTAGGACTGGAGCCTGTCCTTGTTGGTGCTAGAATGGGAATCACCATGGGTTTTAAAGTCTTGTCAGTTAAAACTAGGGCCCTGCCTGTGAACTGTACCTGGGAACCATTTGGGAGAACGCTGAGTTTGGATAAAGCCACAGCTAAAGACAGCAGACTTGAACCTTCCTGTGGCAGCTGGCTCAGATCACAGACGACATGCTGGGAATCCCTAATTTACAGGTACAGATACTGCTGAGGCTGTGGACATTTGCTGCTCAAAGAAAAAGACTGCTCAGGTCTCCTGGACTAGGACCTTGTTAGAGCTGACAGCACGAAGAGCTCAGTCCCACTTAAATCTGAACTAGGTCACAAAGTGACCCAGGATCCAGAGCAGGAACGGTTGGAAATGTGGGACCTGGAATTTTGTCTGGTCTGAGCCACATCTGGGCCCCACGGGGGGAGATAACGGTATTTGGGGGCCTGCACAATCAGTCCCTATCAGCTGACACAGGACTGTACTGAGCGCTTGGAAAGTCCAGCTACAATCATCCCCTGCTTTGGTGTGGGGAGCTTCGGCCGGGGCTCGCTCCTCAGTTTAGAGCACAAATCCAGATGGGGGAAGGGGTAGGAAAGGGAAGGAATGAGACGTACCTTGAACTCTGTTCCATGTAGCTTGTAATACAGCAGCAATGTCCAATGTGCCTGCAAGGTGACATACCTGCCCGGGAGCTGGCAAGGTGAGCAGCTACCAGTCTGTACAAACCAGCTGGAAGCAGGTGCTGGACAGTGGATGGAGTGGACAAGCTCTATGGATGTCTCTTTGTGATAGCAGTGATTCCAGCCACGCTACCACAGAGAGCAGCGTTCCCCGTGCCGATGCTGCACAGCACAGGCACCACAATCATGCGCTTCTGAGATGGACGAACCCGTCCTGTTAGAAAAAGCAACTTCACCCTACGTCTGGGTGACAGACAAATCACAGCTCCAAGGATGAGCGAGTGCCACATGCTGCCCTGCACATACCAGGGAGCTACTGCCCCTTCTTAGCTGCAAACTCTGCCTCAAGCAAAGACAAACAACACCACAGGGGCAAGCCCACAGCAGCAAGCCTGTCCTTTTTGAGTTCAGCGGCATGTGGCTGAGAAAGCTGCCTGGGATAAAGACACATACCTGAGACATGGTGTATTGGAAGGAAGGACAGTACTTGCCATCATTTGATATGGCAAGAGACATGATTGGAAGCGTTTGGAAGATAGAAGACAGTTTGTTTCCCTGTGCCAGACTTTCACATTCCTCAGCCTGTGAGCCCACAGGCACGTGCATTCACTGTCTGGCTTTGCAACTCTGCTGCCACTAGAGGAAAAGGCAGGAAAGGGACAGTGGGGAGAACAATGGGCAGAGAAGGAAAGATGGGTGGAGGTGTACTGTGCTTCACCTCTGGATGCCAGATACCCTCCTCTCAGCCACAGGGCTAAAGACCTATCCTAAGGAAACATCTACCTTTGCTCTAGGTTCCTGGGTAGCATCCATGGACAGGATCCAATTCACTTCCATCTTAAAAAGCTGCCCCAGCCTAAAGCAAGGCATACCAACAGTTAGCTTAAACGCTACCCAAAGCATGAGGACAAGAACCTGAACAAGCTCAGGTTACTCCGAGAACCTCGTGTTTAAATTCCAGAGCTTTATGTGTCCATAATAGACACCATCTGCGAAGCATATAGACTGAGCAAGAACTTTAATGACTGGACATCAAGAAATGCAGCACTGAAATAAGTGGACTACTCTGCTTTACGCTCAGGCACCGTTACATACACATTAGTTTTGGGTGGCTAGTTGAGAACGCATTTTCAAAGCTCCATGTAAAAAAACCAGTGCTTCCTTGATGCTGCAAGTCAAAACAGATGAGCATTAGTTACAGCTCTAATTTCTAGTGACAGTGAGTTGTAAATCCATAGATTATACCTGTTCCTTTGAACATCCTGTGCTCTGCTTCACCTGAGTAGGAGGTTCCTAAAGGCTCTTCTTCAGTGTAGAGCTCAAGTTGTTGTTTGTAAATAGAGATGGTCTCCTGAGTGAAATGATCACTGTCTCGGCCACAGCAATAACGAAATGGTTGAGTTTAAAATCTTTGTCAATATGAGGAGAACTCTGGATTTTGGGAGAACAGACTTTAGGTTGCTAAAGGAACTAGTTAATAAGGTCCCCTGGGAATCTGCTTTTGAGGGTATTGGGGTCCATAAATGCTGCTCACTTTTTAAGAGTCATCTTTCAAACGCAGAGGAGCAGGTAATTCTAATGTGTCAGAAGTTGAGTGTAAGCAAAGCAGAAGGCTGGCTTGGCTGAGTAGGGATCTCCTTCTGCAAAAGAAAGTGTAGGGACTTCAAAAGCAAAGTCAGGCTAAAGAGGAGGACTACAGAGATGCTGTTTGCTGCTGTAGGGGGGAAATTTGTATGGCCCAAGCTCAGCTGGAGTTCAAGCTGGTCAGTACTGTGGTGAGTAACAAAAAAGGCTTTTTAAAGTATGTTAACAGAAAAAGGAAGACTAAAGATGACATTGATCTGTTATTTGATGACATTGGTCATCTCATCCCCAAAGAGGAATAAAGATAAAGCAGAGAAACTTAATGCCTTTTTCACCTCCGTCTTTAACACCAATGATGGTTGGAGGACCACCACTGGGGGAGCAATAAGCTCCCAGTTGACTTTGAACTTGTACAGGATTTGCTGCTGCAGCTGAATGCATGCAAGTCTCTGGGGCCTGATGGGATTCATCCCAGGGTACTGAAGAGTTGGCTGATGTTATTGCAAGACATCTCTCTGCTATCTATCAACAGTCTTGGGCATCTGGAGACATCCCAGTTGACCAGAAGCTAGCAAATGTTACTCCAGTTTTCAAGAAGAGCAAGAAAGAAGACCTTGGTAATTACAAGTCTGTCAGTTCCACTTCGGTGCCTGATAAAATTATGGAGAAGATTATTCTGGAATTTATTGCAAAAGGGAAAGACACACTAAGAAAATGCTTATAGGTGAAATGATATTGATTAATAGAAGTATTATGGTTAAGATAAAAAAAAGAAACAGGTGCTATGAAGTAATAGAATAATAGTAATTCTTATAAACCATGCAACCACGCTGCTTCTCACTTTGTCCTTTGTACAGCCTTCTCCATGGCTGGTTTAAACCAAATCCAGCTGAATCAACAGGAATAATAGAATTTAGAGACATAGGAATTATAGAGGAGAAGTTATTAACTTGGAGCTAGTGAATTGTGAAAGATTCCATATTTTAAAATAGACATAAGTTAT